CAGGGGGGTGGTTTGGGGTGGGGGTGGGGAGGGCGGGGGAGGGACCGCCTGTACAGTTAGTCCACTTTCTTTGCTGCAACCAGCATTCCCCCTGGTGCTCTTAAAGGAGCCCCCTAACCTAGCATCGTGGAGCAGACACGTCATCCAGGACCACCTCCCCATGGGCACGAGTGGAGGCTGAGGTCTGACAAAGGGGCAGGACTTCCTCAAGGTCACAGATGCCCTGACTTTCCATGCAAGGATCCCCCAAAACCACACACACGGACACACACACACACACATAATCACTCACACACACACACACTCTCTCACACACACACTCTCACACACTCACACACACACACACACTCACGCACACATATACACACTCACACACTCACTCTCACTCACACACACTCACATGCACACACTCACTCACATGCACACACACACTCACACACACACTCATACACACTCATTACACACACTCGCACACACGTACACACACATACTCACACACACTCACGCACACATATACACACACTGATTCTCACACACACTCACATGCACACACGCACACACACGCACACTCACTCATACTCACACACACGCACACACTCACTCACACACACTCGCACGCACACCCACACACTATGCTCAGCCGTTTTATCGCGACAGTCTCTATCTTGAAGTTACAAATATCAAAACAGGTGCAGAGCCCTGGAGGCCGCTGGTGGTAGCAACTCTGCCTCAGTTTCCCTCTTTCTCTTCGGCACACGCTAGTGTTGCACGTTTCTGCCCCCTGTGAAGTTCGGCAAGACCATGTGACTTGCTTTGCTCAGTGGGGCGTAGATAAACTTCGTGCGTGTCGGCTCCGCGTGGCAGTTTTAGGAGTTAGCGTGTGTTCCCCATTCTCCTCCCGCACCCCGGCATTCACAGGCCCTGGGCTGAGGATGGGAGTGTGTGCTCAGGTGGAGCCTCCTCTGCCTTGAGTCTCTGAGTCATGACCGTGATTAGAGCAACCCCTCCCCTCCCCCCGCCCTGTGTCCGCCTGTAGCAAACAGAGCGTGAGTGAGAAATAAGCTTTTGTTATATTAATTCACTAAGATCTTGCAGGCTGATGGTTTTTTTTTTGTTTTGTTTTTTGTTTTTTTTTTTAACCATAGTAAACCTAGCTTAACCTAATTGATATCGGTAGGGTGTTATTGTCACCACTTTCAAGATGAAAAATCGAGGCACAGAGAGGTTTAGAAACTTACTCAAGATCATACGGCTGGTTCGTGGTGGACCTTGATGAATGGCTGTGTCTCAGTTTCCCAGTGACACCGCGAATGATGGGGACTCTAGTAAACTGAAGATATTCATCCGACCTAGAGGCAGCTCCTCGGCTCCGGCTGATGGCTGTAAACGAGGAATGTGGGCCAATCGCTGCCAGATCTTCTGATTTTTTTTTAAAAGGAGCCTGTAAATCCAGAGTTTTCAAGTAAAATCCCAATTCTTATCCGCAGGCCACTGATCGAGGTCATTTTCTTTTCCTGAACATGGGGAGGCCATCATATCAGTGAACTACTAGATTCGGTTGGCCACTTTGAGACCCGACAACATCCAACTCCCCATCAAACAGACAAACAAACAAAGAAACAAAACTCTGAACTTCAGGCCGGTGACGGGTATGTGCTAAGTGACGTAGTCAGGGCTGTCAGGTGGCGGGCGGAGAAGAGGGTGCGTGTAGACGCTGCGGTCTGTCTGGAAGGCTCTGGGTGCGGGGGAGGCGGATGGATTGGTACGAAGGATGGCAGGCATGAAGATGTCCAGTGCCCGGAGAGGTTTCATGCCGTAAGACGAAGGGCTTGGCGTGTGGCTGGGGATAGAGAGAGTCACATCCATTTTTCAGGATGACTCACATAGAAGATGTTCTGCTAGGAGGCTGTCGGCCTTACCCACGAAGAGAGTTGGAGTTGGAGCAACGGGGGTTTGAACTGTGAGGGGGATCGTTATGGATTTTTTTTTTCTTCTTCAGTAAATACAGTCGGCTTTTTGTATCCACTGCGTCCCCCATTCACAGAGTCCCCAAACGGGAATGTGGAATTTGGAGACGTGAAAGGCCAACTCGAGTCAAAAGTTGCAGGTGGATTTTGGGTTTCGAGGCGGGGGCGGCACCCCTGAGCCCCGCCTCGTTAAAGGGATGCAGTACGCCTCCAGGAAACACCCGTTATTCCGTGTGACATGGTGACTCTGTCACCATGAGTATGCGGGATGGACCAGGACGGGGCTGAGTGCCACTGAGCCAAAGAAAGAAGGCCGTCTGTCACATCGTAGGGAAACTGGAGGTCTGCTCGGACCCCAGGGAGGCCGTTCCTTGAGAAATCCCGGCTGAGGGGTTTCCCTCTGCCTCGTCTCTGCTCCGTCTGTGGGGCTCAGCTCATCCTTAAGAGCTGTTAAGGACGTTATGGCGACGCGACTCTTAACACTAAGGTTGCGACGAAGAGAGTCACGGTCAGATGAGACTCGCGTTTCCAGAAGATCTGACCGCGTGCGTTAAAAGGAGAGGAGCCTGAATTGCCCTAAGAAGAAACGGGCCATCTGTGGAAATAGACTCTCGTAGGCAATGGCGTTTACCAAGTAGACCTACACCTGGAAGCGATGCCTTTTCCTGCAGGACTTCCAGAGGCTTTCCAAGGCCACGAGCCCTGTGCACCTCCAAGGGGTCCACGTGGCACCCTGCTTGGCTGGCGAATCTCTTTGTTTGCGTTTGTTTGCTTTTGGAATCTCTCGGGAAAGAATGAGATCGAGATGATTCTACGAGACCTGCTGTCTACATTCTCATTCGTGGCTTCTCTCTTCACCGATCAGAGTCCTCGTCTCTTTCTTTCCAGGTTTCTTTTAGGAGGGCAGTTTTCTCTTTTCAAGAAATGGTTCATTTCTACTCATCCATTAGTTAAAAAAAACAAAACAAAACAAAAAAACATTAGGCGGTCCAGGGGAGGCTGGGGGAGGTCACTGCACGTCCATCGCTGGCTCTCCCTGTTCTCTGCTCAGGAGTTCCTTTCACAGTGGGAATTCCCAGCCCAGGGGAGGCACTTTAAGGCCCAAGGACAAAGAGCCTTGGGAGGTGGCCTGATTCTAAGGGAAACACTCATTCCGCCTGGGGACATGTACTGGGGTGGGGGGGGCGGGGAGGAAAAGGAAGAGGAGAGAGAGGATCCCCCAGCAGTTGACCAAGAGGGGCCTCTTTTATGGCTTTCCTGTTTATGGCTGAGAAGTAAACAGCCTGGGAGCCAGGTTCTTTTCCCCTCCAGCAGCTGCAGCGGGGGTGCAGGCTGGCTGGGGACCCTCTCTTTCTGGGTGGCAAGGGGCGGGGAATCTGCCAGGCACAAGAGTCTCAGGGGCATTTTTTTAACAGCATCTTGGGGGCACTTTTTCTTCACCTCGTGCCATCTGCTTTACTCACACTGGTGGGCGGGGGACGGATGGGGATCTGTGTGCATTCAGGGTTCAGGGCCCAGCGGTGTGGCTTTGGGCGAGCCCTGTACGTCTCTGAGCCTCACCTGTAGTGATGAACAGGAGGTATTTGAGAGGGTGTGGACGCTGTGCCTGGGAGTGGCACTTACAAGTCGCCTGGCATGTGGTGTGTGTCCATACGTGATCACTGTGATGATTATTATTTCAGCTGCCCCCCCCTCCCCGACTAAGCCCCCAGGCCTCGGCGGGTGGTGGAGGGCAGTGGGTAGGGGCGGGGCCAGGCCCACCTCGCAGAGGTTTCTTGGCCTGGGTCCAGGCAGCAGCTCCTTCTCTCTGGGTGGAATCCTGGAGCACTTTGCCCCCTGAGACCTGCAGGCTGTGATGGACGAGAGGGTGGCTGGATTGAGATGGAGAACAGGGCCGGGGGCCGCACACACCGGAGATCGATAAACTATAATTATCAAGAATGGTGTCTGCGGGAGGTGGGGAGTCCTGCGGACAGAGAGAGACAGAGGAGGGGGCGGGAAGATGCCAGACAGACGGGACAGCGAGAGCAGGACACGCTCACACACACACGCACCTTCTGATAGGTATAGGCGGCGTGTGTGCCGGACGAGCCACTGCGGACGTGTGACGTGCATCCCGGCCTGTCCTAGTGGGGGTCCCACCTTGGGCAGCACAGGGGGAGCCCCGAGTGGGAGCGGCTCACTCTACAGCCCTGGCACCCAGGGCTCCATCCACGCGGGTCAGCTTCGTAAATTCCACGAGTCCAAATATAATGTCGATAAAGAATGCTGTGTTAAGTCTTTGGTGCAGGGATGAAATGTTCTAAGCTCCGCTTACGCCATCAAATCGATCGATTTGGTTGGGCTGAGACGTCAAAACGATACAGATTGTACTGTATTAGGTTAGACCTGCTTCTTCAACGTCACCAGGGGCTTCGTCGTCCCCCAATTTCATGCTGCTTCCCGGGCCCACCACATCATGGGGTTTTCGATTCTGCGCTCCTGGAACCTGTATGTACGATGTCGTCACCAGGACTTAAAGGCCGAAGCCCTGATTGTCCACTGGCCATTCGCGAGCTCCGCCACGTAGCATTTCCCTCAGAGCTTCCCAAAGCCCCCTTTACAAGCTGCCTTTTCTCTGATCCCGACACTGGCGATGTTGGGGTCTCACCCCAGAAAAGGCTAGTAAATCTGTGCGTGGGTGGTTGGCACTCCATCTGCCTCGTGGCGTCTGGTAACCTTCACAGCACAAAACTGGCATTGATCGAGGTCCTCTGGGGTTCACGTGTCCCCTAAATGTATTAGAGAGATCCTCGTAGGAGTAATACTGTTGTGGCACTCAAATAAGTTGAGTCACCCCGTTCTTTTTTAAATAATATTTTTGAAAACCAAGGTAAAAGCAAACCTGTTTTACATTGGGCTTTACTGTGTGCCTGGCACGGAGCTAAGGACTGACAAGCAGTATCTCTGTCGCCTGCCTGATCTCGAGGGTACCAGGCACTATTTGTTCCCTCATTTGTGGGTACAGGCACTGGAAGGAAGCGTCGCCTCCCTGTGATGGAGCTTGCAGGTGGCCGAGCCTGGTGGATGCTCAGGTATCTCGTCAGAATTGCACTGTGAAGCACGAGGTCATCACCACCTTTCCCGGTGAGGAAACCGAGGTCCTGGCAGGTTAACTGCCCAGGCCTCACGGCTCACTGTGGCCATGATCAGAGTAGGTTAGAGCAGGTCCCTTTGTCCCCTCCGGAGGAAGGGAAGACAGATGCACAGCAAATCCCATCCTGCATGGGGGTGCTCCAGCATCAGCCTCACACTTCCTGTCCCCTGTCCAGCCCCAGCACCTCAAAGTATGTACCGCACTCCTTCTCCTGTTCTAAGTGACACATTTGACGAGCAGGTCAGCTTCCTGCCCCTCGGCTGGGGACCCACGTAGCCGCCCAGGTTCCCCGGAAGACCAAAGGCAGGAGCGCTGGGCCTGGTGGGGACCAACTGGGCCGTCTCCACCTGTGCTCGCTTCTCGGATTCTGTCTTTTCTCTCTGGGCAGCATCATCTGGAAAAGTCCCTGTCATCTGGGAGTGGAAAGATGCACGCTTCCGGAGCCCACTTGGCTGGGTCAGCGAGGGACCCTCGGTGGAGAGACTGTTCCTGGCTTTCGGCTGGTTTGTTCCACACACAGGTGGGCACGTGCCCCTAAAACTGCCTTGTAGGGGACAGTGATGGGAGAAAGGGAGGACCAGGCACACAGGAGCTTGGGGTTTCTCTCGCTAATCATTGAGCACAGCCTCGGCCTTCGGGAAGGAGAATGTGATTCCTACTTTGTTTCTTCTCTCTCTCTCCTTTTTTTTTTTCTTTTTTTTTTGCTATTTCAAGTTGACACTGTAACCTCAGGCAAAGTGCAGCAGGGAGCTTCCCTTTATCTCTTTTCTTTTGTTTTGTGCTGGTTTAAATTGTATACAATTGTTGAACAGTTTACTTTGGATACAATGAAGCCAGAAATGAGAAACATAAATTACCTTCCACTCTGAGCTTGAAGAATCTGTGAGATTCTTCCCTTTCTAAACTCGATGTACGAAATGCATTTTTCATTTTGTAACTTATTTTTCTAACTTGATATCACTACAGAAAGGGTGGTTAAAAAAACGTGGTGCGTGTGTGTGTGTGTGCGTGTGTGTGTGTGTCTATTTCACTTAAGTTAAAAGAGAAAGTAAAACGCGGGTTGATATTCTGTTAATTCCTGCTTGGCAAACACCACCCCAGGGGTTATTTGCAAGCACGAGGTGTGGATATTTCTAGTTTTTTTAAATTTCAAACACACATCCTGGTCATTCTTCCGTGGCATTCCGAAATACAAATGTGACACTTTACGAAAGATGTGTGTGTATTTCACTTAAATTAAAAGAGAAAGTAAAACGCGGGTTGATATTCTGTTAATTCCTGCTTGGCAAACACCACCCCAGGGGTTATTTGCAAGCATGAGGTGTGGATATTTCTAGTTTTTTTAAATTTCAAACACACATCCTGGTCATTCTTCCGTGGCATTCCGAAATACAAATGTGACACTTTACGAAAGGCTTACGCATGTATGGGATTTGAAGCAGTTTTTCTTTAAATTGAAGGAAAATTTAAGCCGTGTTAAGTGGAATAAATTTTTCCTGAAAATTCAGCCCGTTCGTTTCAGTTTTACTTGGGGAAGAAGGGCTCTCTGGGTAACGCCAAGCAGAGGAATCTTGTTCATTAGATATTTTCTTACTCGCTTTAGATGAAGGGAGAAGTCTTGAAGCTCTAGCAGACTAAAAATGTCCAGAAAAAAACAGTGCGAATGATTGCTTCTGTCTATATTTCTTCCGACCTAGATTTTTCTCTTCTCCACCAGGCATGTCGGACCTTCCCCCACCTTCCCCCATCCCTGATGGATGTCCCTACGGAGCGAGGACATATGCCCTCTGGCTGGGAGTCCTACAGGTGACTGGGGGGTTCATTAGAGAGAGGAGGAAGGTATGGTGGAGCTTTGCTTTCTTCTGAAAATATATTAATTTGATGTCAGCCGTTCGTGGAGGCAGGAAAGACACAGCAGTAGCTCCTGCCAAAGATCCCACAACCAGTGTGGAATTCTGATTGGACTACTTCGTTTCCCTCTCTACTTACTACGTACGGCATTACCCTCTTTTTCCAGGCAGAAATATGTGCATTAGAAAGACTCTGCCTCCTAATTTGTAGTTCTTTCTCCCATCTCAAGGTTTTGAATTTGCCGGGGTGCTCAGAACTATACATCTATGCACACACACAGGACACAGCACACACTTCTCACTGGGTGACCGCGGGCTCCTCTGCGTCTTCCCCAAAGCACCTGCTGTGGTCTGTGCCCTCTGCGGACTTACATCCGGGTGGCCCTGATACCAGATGAAGGTTTCAAGCCTCTCCCAATTCCAAAACGTCTCCATCCCCACGCCCCTGTGTTTCTCGCTGTCTAGTAGCATGGACCAAACGCCCCCTTTGTGGCTGATTTATGGCTGCATAGGGAAAACTCCACCGAGGATATAAAACACAGTGCCCCACGCCTGTGCCTGATCTCCCATGTTATCGGTGACTGTAAGTGCGTTTTATAACCCCGGTGCCAAATCGAAATCAAGGCGATTTGCGCATCAATCTCCCGGATAAAATCAGGGCATGCTCTGTTGCAGTTCGACCTTCCTGGCGCCTTTGGAGGGTCCGACTTTTCTAAGTCCCTTTGGACAATTACCCAGGGACAGTTGGAGAATGCAGTGATAATGGCCAGAGCTGGGATTACCAGCTGTATCAAAAGGCTTAACTCTTGAGCCCCAGAGAAAAAGCCCTAGGAGGAGGGAGCGTGGTCGCTAAGAGACTCAGGTGCAGGCAGAGAGTGGGGAGTCCTGTGCTCTTAGGCTGCATCCCTGAACCCTCACAGATCAAGAAAGCAAAACTTTGAATTTTTCAAAAAGCTGGCAGAAAACGGTCTCCGAAAGCCCATGCGGGCCCTCCTGGCCTTATTTATAATCCCAAGAGCTCAGGGGACTGAGTGTGAGAGAAGTCATCACGTTTCTAAAATGAATGGAAGAGTAGCGACAGGAACGAAATCCGTGGCAGGCATCCTGCCGCTGCCCGAAGTGGGTTCTCTGTTGATTTTTACGGAAAATGGTCAGAGGTCTCCTGACAGCTCTGACTGTCTCTCCTCTGGTAAAGTTCAGATCTTAACCCAAAATTTCGACGGATGCCTTCACAAGAGCCTAGCGGGGTTAAAGATATTTTGAACAGATTCGTGGAAATTATAGATTTTTAGAACCTGAAGCCTCTTTAGTGATGGTCAGAGGGTGTAGTTAGGATAAATATTTTAAAGTCTGGGTTTTTATGCCTATAATCTGAGCTTCTCAACTTATATTTAGCCCAAACTTCTTTTGAAAGTAATTTCATCTCTTCTGATTCTGTGCCTTTCCAGGGGCCAGGGCAGGAAGCTCAGATGACTCTTCCAATAGTAAAGCCTGTTTTACAAATCCCTTTAAGATATGCTAATGTACATGGGCTGATTATTAAGATAAATGCCTTGTGTTGGAAACTGGAGTTAATTATAATATATATAATTAGCCACTGGTCAGCCTAGAAGTTATAATTTATTGTTCCCTACTTTGCATTTATTATCAAAGATATTTAATTTAAAGAAATTACAAAAAAAAAAAAAAAAAGAAACCCAAACTTTTCTAAGCCCACTATATACAATTTCAGGAAATAACACATTAACATTAGAAGATGAATTGTGCTCGTTGATTAAAAAATGGCAAGGTCGTTTTTGTAGGAAGAGATGATGTGGTTTTCTCTTTCGGACCCTGATTTTTGGAACAGCAGGTGAGCCTGCGAGATAAGAGGGTCCAGGAGTTTGTGTGACGAGGAAGTCTACTGTGTCCTGTTGGGCCGGGCGAGGGGCGGGGGCGGGGGTGGTGAGGAATAAAGTAAAATATCGGATGTGTTTCCTTTCAGGTAATAATTTCTTCTGGATAGTGACAAAGAGACCAGCAGTTTGTGACAGATGCGGCTTTTGTGTAAAAGGCGATTCTCGCGCCTTTTCCTGAAGAATGCTTCTATGACGCCTCGCCGGCCTTTCAACCCTGTTGTCATGTTCCTTGATCTGAGGCCTGCTCTGCCACTACTCAGAGCTCCCTCAGCCACACAGGAGCCACTTCCTGGTGTCCCTTTGCCCCTGAAGTCATTGGCACAGGGAAAGCAGCCCTCTCTCCTCCTGGAGACCCTCCTTTTAATCAATGCAGCCCGTTTGACTTGCAGCGAGTTAGTCTGAAACATGTCTGCAGGGGAAACAAGGCCACCAGGACGTCAGAATTTCCCTTCTTGAGATGAAGGAGGGATCGTGCTGGGCTCCTGTCGGCGAGAACGTGCCTTTCAGGTTCCTGAGCTGGCGGCCATCACCCTCGAGCCCCTCGGGCATTGTTTTAGGACTCACTGAACGCTGAGGTCAGAACGCTGCTCTCTCAAGTGTTTCTTCAGAGGTCGGAAATGGGATATTTTGGCTTAATGGCTGTTTCGTAAGAGCACAGTCGGTTTGGGTGAGACTTGAGTTTTTCTTCCTGTGGACATAAATTTTGTTCTCTTATTGAAAGGGAAGTTGGAGTAAGGATGGGGGAAAGCTTCGAGGAAAAGACCGCAAGCTGCCCTTGAACTCCTGAACAGCGTGAAGCACCGTGGGGACACGGCCCGCCATTTTTGCAAAGGGCCCCGGCTTGCCCTCTGCTCAGGGGGCCTAGTGTGTGGTGACATTTCAAGGAGGGTGGAGATGTGCATGCAATGGGTGGGGGGGGGGCGGCGTGGACCGCAGAACTTAAAAACGAGCACCCACTAAAACACTCTCCTTTTTATTTTCACCCAGAGCAGTGATCCTGATGTCCGTGCCGAGGCACAGGGAGGCTGCCACAGAGGTTCGGTGACACGCACGCTGACTGATCGGGGTTAGCGCCGGGCCCTGGTCCAGATCTCCCTTTCCGGGTCGGGGCACCTGCAGCCCAGCCACTGAGAGTGCTGGCCGCCAGTGGCTCGGAGTGCTCACCTTCCCCAAAGAGTTACATCTGTGCTGCCCTGAGCAGCCACGGCCAGGGCATGGCTGGCCCCAGCAGGAGACAGGCCTCAGGGACAAGTCACCATTCAGAGACCACACCTCCACAGGCCAAGCCTAGAGCTTGCTCCGCACCCCAGCCTTGCTCAGCCTGTACCCACATCTCTTCTTCTCCCGCACTGCCCACCTCGACCCCCCGCTTGGGCATGCCTTCGACAGACCTGACACAGTCAGATTGCAGTCGTAGGCTGCGCTTCGAGGGAAGTCTCCCTAAGTCATTCGACTTCTGGTCGGCGTGCTCTGCAGGGAAGGCTAGCCGGGCCTCCGATTTCCCCAAGATCGGCTCCAATGCAAAAGCGTCCATTTGTCTAATTTCTCCTTCTTTGCCCACAGATGCAAGACGTGCACCCCATGCGGCTTCAGACTTCTTAGGCGTATTCGATATCATCCGTGGGCCTGTGGAGTTCCAGGACTCTGTGAGCCCCTGAGGGTGTTAGAATCCCTTTCTCAGGGGCTCTGTTCGAAGGCCCTGACCAGTCTCTGGGAGGCAGGACGACATGGGTTTTGTGACCCAACAGACCTGGGTATAGTCCAGACTGCCATCTACTTCCTGTGCAATACCAGGCGAAGATCTACGCCCAGTGCCCCTCGTCCAGCTGGTGAGATGCAGAGCCAGCGTTCAACACAGGCGCCTCCCATTCCAGAGTCCCTGCCATTTAGCCGCTGTCCTGATTCAGGGAGCCAATGGACCTACGGTGCTTAGCACCGACCCTGGCTGCTCACAACGTGGTAGCGATGAGGAGGACGATGACGACGACGATGACAACAACATTTGCACATCTGGATACCAAAGGGCAGGAGACCAACCGAAATTCCACTAAGTCTTTCCCCAAAGCTCTTAGGATGAGGAAAAAAAGACAAAAAAACCCAAACCGTAGGTCCCCGGAATGAGCACCAGTCAGACTTCACCCTCACGAGACGCTGACTTTGAGTGAGGCCTTTTGTCTGAGCCTCGGTGTGCTCATTGGTAAAATGGGCAGAAATGTCAGGTTTACGTGAAAAGAGACCCTGGGTCCGAATGCTCAGCCCCGTACCTGGTGTGGCAGGCTCCCGCCAGGTGACGGGCGGTGAGAAGGCCGCGTGTGGGGAGAGGGCGCAGGGTGGCCGTGGAGAGAGGCAGCGCGTGGCAGCTCTGCCACTCACGTGGCGTTTCCAAGGGCAACGTGGTCAGGGGGGCATGCAAGGATTGCTGGGATCCCAGCAGTCACGGCTGTGTCGTTCTCGTGACGAGGTCTTGCCATTTCCTTGACTCTGTAGTAACAATTCCTCTGCATTCCAGGGTTCCCTGCTGTTTCTAGGACCTGTTTTCACACATTGGCCTCATTATCCTGCCAGTAAGCTCCCCATGACATGCCGAGAAGGCTTGAGATTTTACTCCAGATTACTTATTGCTGCACCCCCAGTGCCTAGCATAGTACCTAGCGCGTTATAGATGTTTAATAAATACTGTCGAGAAGCTGAACCTTATCAGGAGTTGGGACTGGCTGGGACAGGAACAAGCTCTCATTGGTTGCCAAGAGGCCTTCGAGTATGTCTTTTCTCTGCTCTGTGGCTTTGGAAAAACCACCTATGCCCTATGGACTTCCTTCACCTCGTGTGTGAGTCCTACCAGCTCCACCTTACAGGGGTGGGATGTAGCCCCAGTCGAAACTGACTAGCTCTGAAATGTAAAAGCTATGACATTGATTTGAAAAGAACAATTGAAGGGAATTTAGCTAGTCCTAGAATTTACAGTAGAAAATGTTTTTAGAAAATATGCTGCAATTTTTTTTCTCTTAGAAATTTAAAAGCACCTTGCGAAATAAACTCTAGGATTAAGAAGTCAAAACTGAAATAATAAACTATTTAGAAATGAACGGCACCATGTACCAGAAACCTGTGGGATGCGGCTGAATTAGTTCTCAGAGAACAACTTATAGCTGTCACGGGTTTATCCAAACATCACATTGAAAATACAGTTTCTGAACATTCGACTCAAGAAGCTGGAAAACAAACACTACCACCAATAGCAACACACACACACACACACACACACACACACACACACACACACAAACAAAGGAAGAAAACATTTTCAACTAATTTTCTTTTCATTGAAAAGTCTTACGACAGTGGGATATGTTTGTACCAGGAGATTTTCTGGAATTGGTCGCCATTTGATACATTTTCCACGAATCAATAATTTGTAATTACATACTGCCCTATGCAGAGTGTGAAGCTTTCTAAAGAATATAGCTGTTCTATCGTAGCCAATCATGCTTTATTTTGTCCAGACCCTTTTGGGAAGAGAGTCAGGGGAAGAAGACAGAAGGGATTGTGGAGAGAGCAGAGGGCTCACCCTTGACCACGCGAAGAAGCATCTTGCTGGGTGATGCAAACTGTCTACTATGGTAGCAGCATCGATACGGACATGGAGACCTGAGTGTGGGAGGTGTGGGCCTGTTGGGAGGGAGGACCCTCAGCCACTGGTGGGGATGTCCACGGACATAGATGGAGGTAGAAGGGGAAACAGAGCGCTGGCTTCCTTTTCTAGTTCTATTTGAAAATTAATCTTGTGACTCACAGGAGACCAGACTCTCAGCTCCCTGAGCACAGCATCCAAACAGGATGCTGGCAATGGAGGGTCAGTGGAAAATCCTATCTGGGTAAAATGGAAGTGCTTACCTATCTTAGCCTGTTTGAGCCGCTGTAACAAAATAACACAGACTCGGTGGCTTACGAACAATTGGTATATATTTCTCACAGTTCTAGAGGCTGGAAAATCTGAGGTCAGGGCACCCGCCTGGTCAGCAGAGGCCCCTCTTCTGGGTACCAGCCTCGCTGTTGTGCCCTCCGGGGTCTCTTTCGTGAGGGCACTCATTCCACTCAGGAGGGCTCCACCCTCGTGACCTCATCGCCTCCCAGAGGCCCTGCCTCCTGAGATGACTACCTTGCGGGGTCAGGATTTCAACACACGAATTTTGGGAGAACACAGTCTTCAGCCATAGTACTGAACTATGGTGCTAATTTCCTCATAAACATCCATGAGGAAATTATGTAAAGCATTTAGATTAATGCCTGGTTTACGCCAAAACTCAAAATTAAATGGTAGCTATATGCGACTTGCCCCTTTTGTGCCAAATTTATCATCTGGAAAACAGAACAAACAATAACCATCATATTCTACTTGGGAAGGGAGTTTAAATATATAAGGTTGAGTCATATGAAATAGTCAAGGTTTGATTATTTTTGACCTATGCAAACAGCAATCTTGCGTGGGTCAATCGGATGAAATGTGGTATGGCGATTCATTTCTATAGAGATTTACAACTAATTATGCAGATGATTTGTTACTTTATTTCTTCTCCATTTTCTAGTTCCACGGTGAACGCACACCTCAGAAAAGTGACAGGCCTGGAACTATGGGGTGTTCCTCCCCTCGTCTTTGTTTTATTTTATACTTCTCCCTCCTTCCGCCAACAAACCCATAATGATATTTCACAGAGCTCGGTAAGGGCGGCTCTGTTAATCACAAATGTCCCATAGAAGTGAGTAGATTCGCTATTTTCTGTGTTAAGTTGTTAATTGATTTGATAATTGCCTGGGAGACACACACAGGCATACACATATGCAAAACAATGTCAGGTCACAGACTTTTCTCTCGACAGTAAGATGAAGATGTTTTAGTTATTGGAACTCAGATGTCACCTAGAAGAATAAGAGGAGGGAATGGGAAAAATAATAGAGGGGAATGGAGCCAGCGTGGCGGGGGTTGGGGGGGCAAGTCATCCCTCTTGGTTATCAAGCGAAATGACTCCCCAAATATGACAATAAATCACCACAGGAATCAATCAGACGGGAGGCCACTGCTCCATGCTGATAATGCATCAATCAATATTTAATGTTTACACTTTAATTAATCTACACATGGAAGCATTCTTTCAGTGACAAAAACAGAAGGATGAGAAATAAAACACCTTTTATATCAAGGAGCGGGGAGCGTGCTGCCTATCTGGGTGGCTTTGATTGGACCTGTCATTGATCACCTTGGTCCTCGACAGCCTCCGAGTCACATTTGGATAGAAAGCCAATGTGGGGGAGGGGACCAGAGGTGTCACAATCCGGCAGGGAGGGTTGTGACTTCCTCAGAACCGCTATGGAGTATAGATTCTGTGAAGGCAGAACAAAGCCAGGGTAAATATTGGATTCTAAACGTTGATGACATCTTCTCCCCAGAAAAGATTTCTGTCTGCAGATAGTGATCTATAACTCTGGGGGAGGCAGAGTGAGCAGGAAAGACATTTTCCTTCTGTTTTGAAGAATCCGAGTATCGTCTCGGACACACAAATTCCGGTCTTCCCCACTAGGACTGGTTTATAACATTCGGAGCTCATCAGCATGATTTCTACCCTCTGCCCTACCTCTTACCGAGCATTTAAAAATATCCATGCCCCGCATTCATTATAATTCACATACAGCTGCACTTGAATCTTTTTCAGCTGTGGTTGACTAGTTGACCTACTATACTCTATTCTGTAGACATTTAATCAAACATATATTGCATTTGGTTTGGCAGGTTTCTTTTGATATTTTTGAGCTAATGCCTTTTGTTTAGGGTCTCAAACATTTTGTCGGCTCTCGAAAAGCTCAAAAGCTATAAATGTATGTAGGGTTTCTATTTGAGAAAATGGCTTGCTAGACGATGCTGGATTTTGACCCCCTGAAACCACGAAGCTTTCCATTTGGGGAGCATAGCAGTGAGGTGAGGATAATCGAGTTAAAAATGCCAGGAGTCTTGGTTGGGGTTCCCCTAGGAGTAGATTCAAGATAAGGATTTGAGAGCAAGTGTTTTATAAGCGAGGAAGCCGTATTTATCCACCAGCTCTCTGTCTGCTGTTAATCAAGAGCTGCTTATAGGGGTTCACGGCCCACCATGCCTCACTCCCAAGGTTCAAGAAATTGCACAGAAGCAGATCTTTTCAAGAAGACTTCAGCTTTCAGAGTTAAATGGGGACAGGATATGGGCGCACACCAACTGTGACTGCTCCTCCAGGACAAATAAGTCCTAACTGACATTGATTCTGATAATAATTGAGCAAAGTCAATCCTTGTATGATGCAACTCTTCTGTATATATTTACAAACTCTACTGCTTAACCTAAGAACTGGACTGCACCCCATCTTCCTGGCCCGGGTAGCATCACATGCTAACGGTTTCTTTTGTAGAATACATACTACAATTGTCAAGCGTTTACTAGATTGATTTAAATTTTTCCCGCTTTTGCATTTAAACTACACACCTCCCCCCCACTCTGAGCTCCTTTGCAGTTTACTAAATTCAGTTCCACTTTATCTGTCATTGACCTTAACATATTTCTAATTGGTCGAATAGTATTTAATTTCCAACAACTCTTTTTTCAGGAAGCAGGTCCAATCTGTGTCTCTCTTTGAGTTTCAAAGGGTCTGTTATGAGGTTCTGTGGGTGCAGGTAATAGAAACAGGTCTTCATTAACTTAAGCAACAAGAAGGAATTGTGGGAGGGCTACTGGCCAGACTCAGAGCATCTCTGTTGATCTCGGTGAAGACCCTTACGGCCAAACTCCAAACACCTGTCCCTGTGCACCTCTACTCAGGAAGCAACATTCTAGGAAAGACCCTTTAATTGGCTTTGGTTAGATTCCCCTCTCACTTTCTGTCCAAGGCTGAATGAGATGTCTGAAGCTGTTACTTCCCCAAAGAAAAGGTGGATACTAGACCCAGCAGAAGGAGAAAAGGGACACTGAGCTGACAAAAGGAAGAGAAGCCATGATGTCCATCACAGTCTTGTTTTTATACCATTTCATATGAAAAAAAGACTTTAAGTGAACACACACGTGTGGCTCCTCTCGTTTTTTCTTTTTTAGTTTTTAAATTTCTATTCATTTATTTCCACTCTGATCTTAACTGTTTCCTCCTTCTGTTTACTCTGTGGTTTGTTTGTTCTTCTTTTTCTAATTCCTTTAGGTGTAGAGTTTATTTATGTGAGATTTCTCTTGTTTCATAAGGTCGGCTTGCACAGCTAGGAACTTCCCTCTTAGAACTGCTTTAGCTGCATCTCGTACGTCTTGAAAAGTTGTGTTTTCGTTTTCATTTTCATTTGTTTCAAGGTAGTTTTTGATTTTTTTGATTTCTTCTTTGATCCCTTGGTTGTTTAGAAGCAGGTCGTTTAGTCTCCACATATTTGTGTTTTTTTTTTCCAGTTTTCTTCCTGTAATTGATTTCTGGTTTCGTGCCATTGTGGTTGGAAGAGACGCTTGATATGATTTTAATCTTCTTGAATTTATTGAGGCTTATTTTGTGGCCTAATATGTGACCTATCCTGGAGAATGTTGCATGAAAAACATGCGTACCACATTTTACAGGTGTAAACATTTTGCAATTTTTAGATGAAATGCTCTAAAAGAGTCTCTTAAGTCAATCTCTAATGAGAATTTTAAGGCCATTATATCATTATTAATTTTCTGTCAGGATGATTTATCCATTGATGTGAATGGATATTAAA